TCTCATCTTGATAGCTTCTTTGTATGTGCATGGATCGAGACCTGTATTGCCAGATGGAAGGCAGAGACATTGCACAGCCACAAGGCTTTCTATATTAAGAGCTCATAACCTGACAATCTACTCTGTTGTTATGGGTGGGAATAGATCCTCCTTTAGGGTCCCTTCAATCCAGTAAGCTTTGCCAGCTTTAGTGCACTGAAAACACGCCATGTCGGAGGTAGCGGTGCCTTTCTCACCAGGGCGATATAAAATTTATGGAGTCTTTCCTCATAGTACATTATTTTTCACAGCTTTGGCACAGGAAGTGTGTGAAAAGCACCCGTGCCTTCCCCATATGTCACCTATCCCTAACACTCATTATCCTAACAGTTAACCCAATTACTACATAACCTTAATTGACTCCAATTTTCCTTTGCAAATGTTTTAAAATACCATCTTTGATTAGGGTAAATGTTCCTCTTTTGTTCTCTATAAAGACATGACTGATTGATAACAGCAACAACTTCCATTACAAGTGTCCCCATGCAGACTTGTAGTGCAGGGGAAGAGGGACATGTGTCTGCCCAGGTCTGTAAGATTATGGAGTGCCCTGGGAAGCATGATCAAACTCTGCTGCCTTTGCGGCTTCACAATAATGGAGGTTGTTGGTACAGTATGCATCTGGCTGCATATCTATCCTGTAACACTAAATCCAATTTACCTTTATTTACATATTAGATTGTTTTGGAGCGGGTTGAACGTTAAAGCCCATCTCCAGGCAAATAAAAAAACTTACCTTTGCAGTGTGGCTAACCCCACCCTGCAAGGGTTAAGTGCTCCTTTTGTCAAGGGGACACTAATAAAGCTGTTATACTTACCTGATCTTCAGCCTCCGCCAGCTTCCTCCCGGCTTTTAGATTGGTCCCCACAGCCTCTTCTCCATTTTGCTCCAGCAGTCTAAGGAGCGCTGATGTCATCACGTCTAATGCAAGTCCATTGACCTGCATTAGACGTGAGGATGCCTACGGACATTCCAACATCCAGTGCGGAGGGGAAGAAGTAGTGAGCACTGACCACTGCGTGGAAACCGGGTTGAGGTAAGTAAACCAGCTTTGTTTGAGTCTCCTAGAAAAAATGAGCACTTAAAGTAGTACTAAAGGGTGGGTATTTTTTTACCTTAATGCATTCTCTGCATTACCAGCACTTTTCCAGCAAACCAGCACTTTTCTAACACCTCCGTCCCTTCCACACTTACCTGCAGCCTCTTGTATGCTCTGCCATGACCAGGAAGATACTCAGGGTTCCCTGAACGTCTTGGTTGTGGGGGCGGGTACTGAGGGCAGGGGAGCCATAGGCTCCTTCTGCCATCAGTCAAACTGTGACTGCAAGGGTGGGGGCGTGGCCAGCCACATGTTGTGTGCGCTTATGAACACACATAGCTAGGTGGAGGCACTTCTGTTAGTGCCTCCACAGTGGCCGGCTAGCTACTGTGGAGGCACCCGGGTTTAGCGGTTTGGATACCACTAGAGGACGAGGAAATTAAAAAACGTACTTCAGCCAGTGCTACCTCAACTATGAAACCCGGTCTGCAGAAATAGATTTTGTGTTAGTGTGATATCAGTCCAACCGGCTTGTATTTCCTCCCAGCCTGCACTCTACTCACTCCCGCTTCTCATCTTCATAGCTTATGTGTACGTGTGTGGATCGAGACCTGTATAGCCAGATGGAAGGCAGAGGCATTGCACAGCCACAAGGCTTTCTATATTAAGAGCTCATAACCTGACAATCTACTCTGTTGTTATGGGTGGGAATTGATCCTCCTTAGGGTCCCTTCAATCCAGTAAGCTTTGTCTATGGACACACACAGCTAGGTGTGGGCACTGAAGTGAGTGTGTACGCATGGGTGTCTCCACAGTGGCCGGCTAGCTTGAGGAGAGGAAATAAAAGGTTTTTTAAAGTAAATCTGGCAACAATAAATAGAAAAAGTAAAAAAAAGAAACAAAGGTTTACTGCCACTTTAAACCTTGCAATACGAGGGAAGCCCCACTGCAAGGGTACATTTTTTTCCCTTTGCCTGGAGGTGGGCTTTAGCGAATTCAATGCAGCCATGTTTACAGCGGGAAAGACTACACTCGTATGAAATAGAGGGTGGAGCTTGTCATCTGATATCTCTAATTTTAGCAGGTTTTAATGAGATTTGGGATTTTGATGGGATGACAGCTACCATAGCATGTAATGTTTGGCACCTCTGCTGTACATATATCATACTTTACACTTCTACATACTAACTTGCTCTATGCCCCATCAGCATTATTTATATATGCAAACATATGTCAAAACCAATAAGCGCACCAGTGTGATTCATAACTCAATTTCATACTTCCCTTAGTGGTCCCTTGTGTCACTTTTCAGCATGTTTTATTAAGAGCGCTCAATACATCATTATAACTAGCCGTGGCCTTCTGGTGATGATAACTTGGCGGTTTATTTAGCAGCTATAACAGTTACATATGATAAGTGACCCTATCATACTCTTGTGTAATAACTATCAGCACCACTTCCTCATGACAAAAGGTTTTGCAGATACTCCACTTGGACATCTGAAAAATGTTACTTGTCATGTCAAGTACACAGCAAAATATTTCTGAGCCCATTCACCCCTGTGGTTAAACCAAAAAAAAATATCAGTATTTCCATTCGCGTTTTAGGTGCAGTATTGTGAGATTTTTGCATATGTGTTAAAGCCCAATTTAATTTTTTGTTTAATGCAGCTAAATACATTTCAGGTGCATCGAATCAAAAGGTGTACAAAGTCTTACTGTCTGTTTTCAGGGGGCAGCCACCGACTAAGTAAAAAAGATTGACCCTGCCAGCATGCTGCAAAAATGGACTGTTCCCCTCTCTGTGTTGAAGCAGTGGTTTATCTATCCTACATGCCCCCAGCTGAGTCAGACCTACAGCTCTACAATCAGCAAAGCCCTTGCTCTCTGATGATTGGAGAGATCTGGCTCTGACTCATTAATGAGGATGGGGTGTGTCAGACTTCTACAGAGAGACCTCTGCTTTCATACAACGATCCTTCTCTGTGGCATAGCTGGGGACAGGCTTTTGATGCACCTGGAATGTTTGTAGACAACTCAGAATTTCAGGCAAAACTTTTATTAACCCCTGCAGTGGGGCTACCCCTGCACTGCAAGGGTTAACTGCTTGCTGTGGTCTAGGGAGCAAAATAAAAAGAGTTATACTCCCCTGATCCTCGGACCATCCTCGGAGTCGGCGTGCTCATGGAGCCTCTCTCCCCCTACACTGCAGCCGTGTAAGGATGCTCGAGTCGTCACGTTCTATACAGGGAGGAGGATTTATCAAGACTGGAGCAGACAAAATCTGGAGCAGCTGTGCATGGCGACCAATCAGCTTCTATCTTTTTCAAATCTTAACTGTACAAACTGAAGAGAGAAGCTGATTGGTCGCCATGTGCAACTGCTCCAGATTCTGTCTGCTCCAGTTTTGATAAATTCCCCCCACAGTTTATAGACGTGAGGACGTCTAGAGACCTACCATCGCTGCAGTGGAGGAGGAGACAGGGTGGAGGGAGCGTTGTCACAGCTGTCTGGCTCCAGATATTGGAACCCTATTGCAAGGGTTAATAAGTTTTGCCCGGTTCTACTTTAAATTTATAGTTCAATTGGGTTTTACGTGCAAAAAAACACAAGTGCAAGATTATATATTTCTCAGCCATTTCCTGCTAACGTAATACATTAAAATGCACTATGTACACTATATCCATCCATACTGATGGTGTGCGTGTGGATAGCAATGCCTAAACTACAGCATCATGGATTTTTAAACATTACCAAAATGCAGTGCTCGGACACACAGTTGTGCTACTTTCTACAATAGAGTTGGAGATTTAAATAAGCACAACCTAGCTGATTTTCCACTGATGATTACTTAGCAATGGCAACATGTTTTCACAGTGTAAAAGCCATCTGTGCATTGATTCAGTCTCCTCAACAACAACATAGTGACACTCCCTTTCATGTAACAGATTCAAGGAAATACCTTAGGCTGAACTATAAAGTGGAGGGTGTGTAGTAGAATGAAATAGAAATGTCACCTTCATGTCTGCTGTTTCTGAAAATCCTCATATGGCTGCAAATGTGTAATAAGGCCTTCAGTACTCATCCATCCACATTATTACCCGGCCTCTCTTTACTTCTCACTAGCAGCAGGCAGTGTGTGAGAATCTACATTGTAGGCAAGAAATCTGAACTTCAGGCAGATATTAAAAAAACTCAAATAAATGCAGATATATATTCGTAGTCACCTAAGAGATATAGGATTTCAGGTTAATATCTCTAAGAGATCTGGCCAGAATTTTCCCAGGTCTGTTACCAAATTCATCTTTTAGAAATGTTTAGTAATGACAATCTACAAACACATACTTTTTTTTTTTTTTTAAGCCCGTGGAACGTGCATCTAAACAAACTTCCCCCTGTGAACAAAAAAAGTGAACCGTGAGATCACAGCACACAAAAACGTGCACAAGGGTGCTTGGTCCTTCCAAAGAAGGGACCTCGATTCCCGACCCCCCGGGGCGCAAGGCTCCTGACAGGGTTTGAGACTGTTGGTCCACCAACCCGAAGGCCGCTGGACCCTGATCCTTTGGGGACCTGCCAAAACAGGTCCCTCACAGTACTAGGCAAGGGGCTCTCCCAAAGAGAGACTCCCTCCTGGGTGGGAGGAGACCGAGAACCCTATATAAGGGCACAGAGTCTCCTCCCAATCAGGAACAAGGCCCCGAAGGAACCTGCATCCGCTGCATCTGTGGGTCAAAATTTTAAATAAAAAAGTGCCAATGTTATACAGTATGTGTTGCATTAGTGCGTTTAACTTTTTGCCTGCCATTCAGTCTTAAGTTTATAAACAAAAAGTATGTAATGTAGCTTGATGTATCCATAATTATTGTGACCATATAGATATATACATAAGTAATATTTTTCCTTCTTTATTTGTTACAGTTAAACCAGTGGTGGTGGTGTCGGTGAACTATCCACAGGGCCTGACAAGGGAAGGAGAAGCTCTGGAGTTAATCTGCAGAGTCATTGGCAAACCCAGGTAAATTGTGAATAATGTGCTGTCATAGGAATGTTTAGACTATAGGAATCCTTTTTATGTTGTTGGACCCTCCCTGCTGTCATGGACTGAGATGGATAGAGGCCACGGGCAGCCTTCACATCTGCGGTAAGTACGTGTGGAGACCCGCGTGAGCTTACTGAGGCACACTCATAATAAACATGATAATATATGTCAGCAGGGCAATGGTCAAATGGTAATGAGGTGCAGTATGGCTCAGTCACATTATTCTTTGTCCTTAGTAGACCTGCATTGCTCATACAAATTTGTATTGTACATTATCTCATGTATAAGCTGTGGCAAAAGCTGCAACATGTACACATAGATCTGCGTTATATCGTTACGTGGAATTGACCACTTGTGTCGGGGTCAAATGAAAAAGAAGAATCTGGTTTATTATTGCAAATGTTTTTCTATTGCAGACACTTACACAGCAGCCCAATATCTGTTGTTATAATTATTCCAATGACAGTCCTCAGTGAAGGACAGAAACCAGAATTTAAGTCCATTTATATTAGGTGAACAAAGAATTCAGCGGCATGAAGCAGACAGTGTCAGTTTGATTTTGTGCTGGCATTCATTTGTAGAATGGTGGTATTCTTCACTGAAAGTCTCTCATTACATGCACTGTCAAGCAAAATGAGGTAGCACCTCTGCCTGCGATTGGTCATGTTTCTTGTGAAGAAGAGGTTCGCTTGTGATTTAGGCAGGCGTGATTGGATTAACTGTTTTAGTCTCAAGTCTGGAGTCTCTATTGATTTCCAAAGCTGCCCGCATCATGCTTTGCCGACAAATAGTAATGATTCTGCATCTGCGTGCAGGTAGACCTCTGAGAAAGGTCAGCCATTGAAGTCACAATTGGCGCATCAGGAAATGTCTTTTTCAGCAGTTTTAGCAATCAATATGCATATCTGCATTATCAACGACTCTTCCTGAGCTGCCTTACATCTGGTGCAATAGTAGTGACCCAAATATGTTTTGAAGCTTGTTTAAATGATGTTCCTATTGAAATCATCCTGGGAATGTCTGCTGGTCCCCATAGATTTTACATCAGCCAGATAAAGCACTGATCTTTTTATGTCTGTGGCAAGCTTTATTATACTCTTTCAATTCGGTTAATCTGATTAGCCATATCCTAATTGCTTGTGTGTCTCAGCCCCTCTTCCTGGCTTCATCCTGTGCAGTCTATCTCCCTTGTCGATCCTCAGTTACATAAGCTTGCAATATTGGATCTCTTTATGGCGCCCTGTACATAACTCTGCAGACAGTTTTCTAAGAGGAAGGTCAGATTGTGCCTTTGCAATTGACCACCCTCCCAAGTCTAAGGGCAGCTTTAGGGCCTGGGTCGATGAGCTTTTGCTGACTTCAGATGGGTTTTGCATTCCATTAAAAGTCAATGCCAATGTAAAACCTGTTGAAGTAGGTCATAAGGAGGTCAAGTCAGACGCACCTGTCATTGAATTGGGATGGGTCTCAGATGCATCTCAGATAGATGTAAAATTGATACCTTTACGTTAGCCCAATGACACAGGTTCTTAGGGTGACAGAATGATTTGAAGAATGATTTAGGAATCAGAAGTGTTCATTGTTTTACACAGTTTGTCAAATAAAGAGGATATTCTGTGTTTCCAGCAATTGATCTCTCCATTATCACTGTTCTGTGTCATAACCTCTGCCAAGCTGGATAAAAGTGCATGCTGGGTCATGGCAGTCCTCGAGCTATTGAAACAAGAATGACTAGATATACAGTATGAATACGAATCTCTTGTTTAGTGAGCGATCTGATAGTATATGGCCAGTCCATATGGCTGCCTCTATTTATCTGTCCCCAAAAAAGGGTATAAAATTCATTTCAGTACAGCGCTGCATGACGGAATAAATGTCAGTCAAAGTACCGCAGCGCTGAATACTGAAAAATGGCCTGGATGGGAAGGGGGTTTAACACCGCGGATGTCAACTGGTTAAAGCTGGCAGATCTCCAGGCAGATGTAAAAGAAACAAATAAATGCATTCGTGCCCATGAACACAATATTCATTGAATTTATTTTAAATTCAAGCAATACCTGAATTTGATCTGGTATCAGCTTCTTTTAATCCCCGTGCAGCAGAATTCAGACTTTGAGAGGACGAAGCAACACAAAAGAGCCAGTCAGTTGTGCTAACAAGGATCATGTTAATAGGAGATGAGAGCAGAGTGACATAGAAATGAACCCTTTAGTGAGCTGCTTCTCCTTTCACCATCCAGCCACTGACTGGGGGTGGGACAAGCCGTGTGGCAGAGAAAAATCAGGGCTGCGCAAATCTCAGAAATGGATGGAAATATAAAATCATTTAGGAAGTAAATTAGCTCCCATATTTGTAATCAATCAGTTTATTTAGCTTTTTTTCCTGGAGTTCAGTTTGGTTCAGTTTAGTTATTTGTTACTAGTGTTGGGCAAATCAGGCAAAATTCAGTTAGTTGTACGCTCAACAAACCTGCTGAGAAGTTTTCAAACACCATACATAGTGCCGAACCCCATTGAAGTCTGTGGGAGTTCAGTTTTTTTTCTGTCTTTTTTAAAGCAGATTTATAAGCTTTTGTTAAACGTTCTTCCACCACTAAATGACAGATTTCCAGCTGATGCTTGTTCACAGACATCGGCCGGGGGGTCTGGCGGGCAGAATGCCCATTTTGTTTGCTGGCTGAACTGTAAACCGACTGTGTTCAGGTCAGAGAAATGTTCAACCCGAACCTAAAGCTCACCCCTATTTGTTACCAACTACATATTGATCTGCACTGGGAGCCTAACCAACCAACTTAACTGGCCATCAGAAGGTCTTTTGTATAGAGGTGCTAGCAACTTGCAAAGTCTCGGCTTGTAAGACATTATCACTGTCATGCTGACTTCCTTGCTGTGTATATAACAATAGAAAGCATATTCTTTACTGGAGCATGTTGTGACAAAGTGCATAGAGCTAGATTTTAAACCTCGCTCTCATCTCTCCACAAAGCAGACCGTAGTAGGGAAGGGAGGTGATGGGCGCCTAGTTTTTACTGTGTGCTGCCCAAAAGTTTTCTACCTTAGCCAAACTCCAGGCACATTTAAAACCGGCACAAATGAATGCAGCTCTGTGTTCATCAACACATGTTTTTTTTTTTCTCTTAACGAAAGCAGTGCAAGTTCCTAAATTTAACATGGTATCAGCCTCTAGCAGTGCTTAGAGAGTGTGCGGGAGGAACGGGGAACACAAGGAGCCATTCAGTTGTTTTAAGGTGGAAAAGAGCATGCTGATTGGAGGACAGAGTGTTAGAGAGGAGCTCATCAGTCTGCTGCTTTTCCTTTCACTGTCTAGTCACAGGGTGGGGAGGGGACCTGTGAGGCTCCATTCACAAATCTTTCATCCGCACAGATTCAGCTTGTTTGCAGCTATTATATAGCCGCGAACGTGCGGCATCCGTCAACGGATCGCGCTTGGACTATTTTGCAGACCGTGCGGCCACCGTAAAAGCCTGAACAATCCACATTAAAGTGCATTGTTTTTCTATTTAGAGCAGCTCCGCGCATATTCAGCCGGCCGGATATATGCAGACTCCAGTGTGAATGGAAGAGAAGACAGAGGGGGCGCCTTTCCTGGTGCAGATCAAATTTATTTTCAATGGTCATAGATAAAACATAAGGTACTCACAAACATAGGTGAAAAACAGCCATAAAATGAAAGCTGGCAAGCAGATGGACATCCACTGGGGGGATCCTGTGTGCGGGTGGCATTGACGCGTTTCCGGGGCATGCCCCCTCGTCATGTTCTGACGGGATCCGCTCCGGCTGCGTCGTCTCAGTATATTGTGAGCTGTAGCTCGCGGTATACTGATCTTAGGGTAACGGGAGGACGCTAGTTTGTGTCCTCCCGTTACCCTAAGGAGAACTATGGGGAAAAACACTGACCCCATAGTTCTCCTTTAATCCACATTTAAATAGTGTATAAACCTTTTGACTTTAATATTACTTTAAGCTGGCTATGCACTGTTAATTTGAATGGTCATTTGAAATTGTGTCAGATCCAATCTTCCCATCATCAAAGCCCTTAAATATTTGTCCAGACATGTTACCTGAATAGGACCCAGGATGTTTCTTTGTGCCTAGCACAATATGTTGATTTTTTTTTTTTCCCCGAACGGAAATCAACATTCATGGTTAGATTTTCATTCGTTCAGATTAAAAAAAGAGATAAAAGAAAATTCTTAATTCTTGCGCTTTCAATTTTTCTCATCCCTACTGTCAAATACGAACATTGATTAGACCCCCACTAACCATTATAATGTCAAGCAAATGTTCCAAAAACTAACATTTTCAGAGAAAATTCTACAAGTGTATGGCCAGCTTTATTCAGGAACACTGGCCACACATAATATGGGATTGTTTGTCATTCAGTGGCTTTCATGAATGAATCATATCTTACAGAAGTCAACTGTACTAAACATACTGTTCAAGTAACAAACAATTGTTTTTATTTAAATCGGGAAATACAATGACAGTCCGCCATGTCTGTTTCTTTGTTGTATCCAATTATTGTTTTTAAATGATTGAATCTGTGATTGATCTATCTCCTTGTTATGCATTTCATCAGTATTGGGTAAAAAGGATGGAGAGTAATCACTACCATCAGAAATGATCATTCATTGCTTTGACTGTATTAACCGAAACCTGATTGGCTTTCTGCTCTTTGGCTCATCATCATTGTCACTCTTTGCATTTCTCTTACTATAAGCCAGTGAATCTATCCATTCTGACATAACATGGCTTAATGAGAGCACCATTGTATCAGAAAGTATATTTAAGTCAGTGTCTTTCAATGTTTTTTAGCCATAGCGTGTAAAAAAACATAAATGTGAAAATAAAGTAAAGTAAAGTAAAAGTAAAAAACAATGTGTGCCCCCCTCCAAAAAAAAATAAAAAATCAATAACTAACCCGTATCCTAGACCAGGGCTCAAAATTCCCACTCG